CCATATTTTCTCCAGCTAGTGACTTCTTCCCTTCTTGTTTGTCTTTTGCAGCAAAAGTTTTCCAAATAATTTTCCCATTCATTGTCTTAAACTTCTCTTCTTTCATTCTCACTTGAAGTCACTAATTAAGCTTTTATGTTCTTCCTTTCTGCTACTTTGCAGAAACTGTCATGTCAAGATCACCAATATGAGATTCCAGCCCTCATCTCACTTTTCTTTTCATTGCCAGAGTGCGTGTGCTTGCCAGAGGGAGTGGGGGAGAGGAGAAAGCACCTCCCCCTTCCTCCATTTTTCCATTTTGTTGGGATTTTGGGAATGCATGCACATGTGCTCCATTTAATTTTCAAGTCACTGGAGTGAGATTCAAACTGTAGTCAGTCATGTGGAATCTGACTACCCTACACTTCTCTGCAAGACTGACCCTCATCTCACATTTTTTGTTTTTGCTATAGGGCGCATGCGCTCACCAGTAAGACAGAGAGAGAGACAGAGAGACAGAAAGCAAGAAATCACCCCCCAGGGAGGATGGCTACACCGCAATCCCTTCTCCTCCATTCTCCTCTTGGAATCTTGGGCACGCACGCACACGCACCCAGCGTCTGTTTAAGCCACCGGGTCCGGGACTTGAACCGCGGTTGGCTACATGGGAGTTCAGCGACATAGCCATTATGCTAACTGCTGGTCCCTCATCTCACTTTTTAATCACAGCCTGTGGCACAAGTTGACCATTCTCTTCTTATAAATACTTTCCTCATTTGGTTTCTACCATCACAAATTCTCCTGTTTTTCTTCTAAACTCTTTGCCCTCCCCCCCCTTTTTTTTTTTTCAACTTTGACGATTATTTCTCATCTGCTCCATTCTTAACAACTGGAGTATCCAGAACAACACTGTTAGATCTCTTTTTTAATTTATTTATGTACTCCTTTAAATTTAAGAAATGATATCCTATCTCATGTCACTAAATGCCTTCTTTATGCAGAAGACTTCCCCACTCACATATCCAACAGTCTAATTGATAGCTCTGAGTGTGTGTAGACATTTCAAAGCAAACATCTCTGAAACTAAACTCCTGATCTCTCATCCTAACATGCTTCTTTCTCATTTCCCGTTCTCATTTACTTGCAACTCTGTCCTTCAGGTTAATCAGACCAAAAGACTTTGAATCATCCTCAGTATTTTTCTGACTCATATTCTATATCCATTTCATTCACAGATCTTTTTGCCTCTATCTTTAGAATGTATCCAGAGTTTTATACCTTCTTCCCAACCTCTCTGCTATTATGCATCATCATCTCTCACTGGCATTATTGCTGTCTTCCAGTAATCATTCTTCCTGTGTCCACCTTTGCTATTTATAGTGTATTCACAGAAGACCAGCCAGAGGGATCCTGTTGAAATGCCATTCAGAGAACCTAAGAACTTTGCTCGATTACCTGCTTTCTGACTCATTCATTCTCATAGTAAAAGTCAAAGTGTTAATGATGGTCTACAAGGGCCCCGTCTGCTCTGTGCTACTTCTCTATCCAATCCCCTTAACTTTCTTAACATCCTCTATTTATTTTTGGAGAGGTTTTTGCTATAGGGTGCATGCACTCGCCAGAAAGACAGAGAGAGACAGAAAGCAGGAAATTGTCCCCCCAGGGGGGCTGACCATTCAGCAATCCCTTCTCCTCCATTCTCCTCTCGGGATCGTGGGCACACATGCGCACATGCCTGGCATGAGTTTAAGCCACCGGGTCTGGGACTCAAATTGTGATCGACTACATGGAAGTGTCCAGTAACATAGCCCTTACGCCAACTGCTAGTCCTGTTAACATCCTCTTTAACTCTGTCTTCTACCACCATTTCTCTTAACCTCAGACTACACACTTTGGACTCCTTCCCTCTGATGTGCTTTTACCTCAAAGTCTTTGTGCTTGCTGGGTCCTCTGCCCAGAATGTATATTCCCTCTGATGCATACACTTTATTTTCTTCAACTCTTTGCTTCTCAGTAGGGCCTTCCCAGTCTCTGTATTTGAAATCATAGTTGACCCTTTTCCCAACCCTCATTACCTACTTACTCCCTGCTTTACTATTCTTCATAGGTGTTGTCATCATCTAACACATTTACATATTTCATTCATTTAGTTCATATTTAATGTCTATTATCCCTGACTAGAATGTAACCTTCGTGAAGATAAGAATTTTTTTTTCTTTTTGGTTTTGTTGTCACCTTTATACCTAGCACTTAGAAAAGTATCTATACAATAGTAAGTTCTTTATAAATATTTGCTGAATAAATGTATAAATTATTTTAGTCTTTTTAGTATCCTGATTCTTCTATTATAGTTAAAAAATGGAACTTTAGGGAGTTTAGTAATTTGTGAAGCTAACACTGAAACCCAGGTGTCTTACCTCGAAGTATATGTATTAATTCATCTCTGGGAATATGATGTAAATGAACTTCACATACATTAACTGCATCAGAAGAGAGGCAGTTATCCACCCTGTGCCTCTTCTTTGTGCTCTTACCCTCAGTCAGTATCCGGAAGAAAACAGAAACAGAAGTTTTTGTTTATTTGTTTTAGTTTACCATGTTGTATGTGTGCTTGTTGGAGAGAGACAGAGAAAGAGAGACAGAGAGAGGGAAAGTAAGAAATCACCTCCCAGGAAAGATGTCCATACCGTGGTCTTTTCTCCTCCATTCTCCCCTCAGGATTTTTGGGCACGTGTGCACACATGCCTGGTATAATTTTCAAGCACTGGGTCTGGGACTCAAAAGTGCAAAGTTGGCCATGTGGGATTCAGCTGCTTTAATCTCCATGCCACCTACTGGCCTAGAAACAGATGTTTAACATTTAGTTCAAGTTGAAGCACTTACTCCTTGATCATTAAGATTTGTTGGAGAGACTTGGTAAACTATTTCCTCAAACCCAAAATGTTTTGGAGTAAGAGAATTGAGAGGAATGCAGCTTTCCTGCCTTCTAGCAGAAAGGCTATACTTTTTCCGAGATGAAAAGTATCTATATCCTTTCAACTTGAGGCAACAGGGAATTAATAAGAACACTATTTGGTTAAGGTGTTTCGGGGATTCGTGGCAGGCAGTTGGAATTTATGTTCATTTTCTATCACTGAATTGTTCTTAGTTCAATGAAATAAAAGATTTTCAAAAATTCTCAAACTACTTATAGTCAAGTAGGGAGCTGATGAGGAACAGAGGTCACAGTTTCAGAACACAGTCACAGATCATGTTGAGTATGAATCATATTTTACATTTTAACAGCTGCTTTTAGAGTTGCCAACAGCAAGATGTGTCTAGTTGACATTTCCCAACACCTGTCCTGTGTGTGGTTCGTATTCCCAGCGGTTGACTGAGCTGGAAGTAAATTCTGTGTACCCAAAAGAACTGGTGTCCTTGGATTGGGAAATTAAATAGGAGTACCAGATCAGTTTCCAAATGCTTAGTTACTGTCTAGATCATGACTTCGGGTCCACCCAGGTCCCTGAGATTAGAATTTTTCATGAGATGATATTAGGTGAGATGTAGTTAAATTTTCACTTGAGAATTGAATTTTATGCTAATGAAGTTGTGCCTTTTTTTTTTTTTGTTTGTTTTTTTAAAGATTTTTGCTATAGGGCATGTGCGCTCGCCAGAAAGACAGAGAAAGACAAGAGCGATAGAAATCGAGAAATCACCCCCTGGGGGGATGGCCACACCGCAACCCCTTGTCTTCCACTCTCCTCTCGGGATCTTGGGCATGCATACACACGTGCCCGGTGTGAGTTTAAGCTGCTGGGTCTGGGACTCGAACCACAGTCGACTACATGGGAGTCCAGCGACATAGCCATTACACTAACTGCTGGTCCCTGCCTTGTGTTTTGAAAGGAAAGCCTAAGTTGCTTATCAAGCTCCTCTCTTTCAAAGAGTCAAATTCTAGATTCTGTCTCTCTTTAGTGGACTCAGCTGAAATCTCTACTCACTTTTTTCAGCTTCCAGAGGTTCATTTCTGCTGTTTTGGTGTGTACTGTAGGCATAGGCATCAGTTGAGGATTTGAGCACTTTATGCACAGATCTTGGGTGTCTCCACATGGTGCCCTTCTTTTAGGAATTTAGTCTCCCTTTATAACCATCAGCAATCCTGGACTATATCTGACACTTCAGACCAAGAAGACTGGTTCTGGAGGCAAGCAGATGGCATAGTAGTTATGTCGCTGGATTCCAACATGGCTGACCATGGTTTGAGACCCAGACCTGGTGACTTGAAAATCATGCTGGATGCATGTGCATGTGTGCCCAGGATCCTAAGCGGAGAATGGAGGAAAAGGGATTACAGCATGGCCATCACCCTGGGGTGGGGGGTGGAGGGGTGATTTCTCATTTTCCCTGTCACTAGGGGGTGATTTCTTGCTTTCTGTCTCTCATCTCTGGTGAATGGATACACCCCATAGCAAAAATATCTCCAAAAAAAAAAAAAAGGAAAAACAACAAACTATATTGCGTTTGTCTTGTTTTCCTTTTAGTTGTGTTAATTTCTTCCACTTACTATGAGCTCATTTTTAGCTAAATAGAAATTTAGAAATGTTATGTCCCATTTGTAAATTGAACCCTTTAACATCATGAATTTTCACTCTTTATCTTTGGTAATGTCTTTTTTTCTTAGAGTGTACTTCATCTGCTATTAATATGGTGATAATAACTTTACTTTGGGTAGGCTTTCATCATGTATTTCTTTCTTCTTTACTTACAATTTTTTGTTATCTATACGTTTGTGTTTTCTTTTAAATAATTGAGTTTTGCTTCCTTTTATTCAAGTATGACCATTTTTAAAAAGCTAGAACATTTAAATTATTTACAGTTAATGTAATTACTGATTGTGTTTAAATCAACCAGAACTACTTTCTGTTTCCTCCATGTATTCTGTATTTTGTCCTTCCACTATTATTAATTTACTGAATTGTTAGATATATTGCGCATTTACATTACCCTCCTTTACCATAAATTTTCTTTATTTTCTTTAGGAAAAGATAGAGTTTTTAATACTCCATTATGTGAACAAGGAATTGTTGGATTTGGAATTGGAATTGCAGTCACTGGTGCTACTGCCATTGCTGAAATTCAGTTTGCAGATTATATTTTCCCTGCCTTTGATCAGGTAAGTGCACTATATTTTATTATAAATGAACAATTCTAAGGTTAAGTTCATGATGCATTGTTAAGTTCATGAAGTATTGGTAATATTGCTTCCACCCTTCCATGCTATTTTAGGAACATTTTGGTTTTTTTACCTTTGAGCTAGTGCATTACAGTTATCATTTTGTTATGGGCATATATTTAAATGTTTAATAGAATGGCTTAAGAAAATGGATTGGAGAGAGAAGACTCACGGTGACATGTCCCTTTTCTCTTTTTCCCTCTTAGATTGTTAATGAAGCTGCCAAGTACCGCTATCGCTCTGGGGATCTCTTTAACTGTGGAAGCCTCACTATCCGGTCCCCTTGGGGCTGTGTTGGCCATGGGGCTCTCTATCATTCACAAAGTCCTGAAGCTTTTTTTGCCCATTGCCCAGGAATCAAGGTATCACCATTTATGTTTCTATTTTGGTCGATTTTGTTAATATTAACTAATATTAATTTGTTTATATGGAGGAAAAACAAACAGGATTTTTGGAACTTAAGTAAACTTAACTATATGTAAGAAAGGGAGGTTAATATTTTTTTAGGAGAGATGTTTTATGATGGGGTGTGTGCCCTTGCCAGAGAAAAGACCCCAGAGGGGGATAGCCATGTGGCAATCCCTTCTCTTCCATTCTCTTCTTGGGATCTTAGGCAGGCACTCAGTGCGAATTTTAAGTCTCTGGGTCCAGGACTGGAACCACAGTCGACTATGTGGGAATGTAATGATATGACCATTATGCCATCTGCTGATCCTAGGAAATTAACATTTTAAGATAATTAATTATCCAATATCTAGTTTTATAGAAAGTTCTTTTTTTGAAAGAGAGGGTCTCACCATGTCATTATCTTCCTGCCTCAGCCTCCTAATAGGGACTACAGGTGTATGCCAACCCTCCTGGTTCTTTCCTAGATAGGGTCTCACTATATTGCCCCAGTCTCAAGTTTGAGATTCTTCTGTCTCAGCCTACTCAAGTTGCTGGGATTGCAGGTGCATGCCATTGCACCTGGCCTTTAGGTTAGAATGGAAGTTGAACCTGGGCCTTTCCACGCGGTCCCAGTTTGTGGAGCACAGCGTCTCAGAAGTGCTAACCTTTGCAAGCTGAGTCACAGTGTTCCTGAAGCTGTGGCTTGAAACTGGCTTTATTAATGAACTTCTTAGCCTTTAAAAGATAAGACTGAGAATATAGTTGGTTTATTTTCTCCCTCTTTCAAAGCTCTGTACTTCTTTCTAGTACTTCTTTTTCATTTAACTGATTCTGTGATAGTTTTAATAAATCTGCTGTTTACTCATGTATACCTCAGAGTCAGAGAGGTAGGATTTTCCTTTTTGTTTTTCTTACTTTTAAGTAGACTGAGAAGACTGTTACCTACATGTGTTTATTTATTTATTTATTTATTTTTAGTCTAGAGGAAGGCCATACTTGCTTAGTTAATTTTGAAATATCTCCCTTTTATAGCCTGCCTTCCACAATAGCTTAGGCCTTTTGATAATAAACATATTTTGAATATCTTCTAATTTTTTTATATTGTCATTTCTTCTTTTAAAAATATTATTATTTTTACTTATTTGTTCATTTATTTAAATTTAATCAGAGAGACATACAGAGAGATAAAGAGAGAGGGAAAGTGAGAAAGCAAACCGCCAGGACTCAAAGCACAGTCAGCCATGTGGGAGTCCAGCCCCTCAACCACCACACCACCTGCTTGCCACTATTGTCATCTCTTCTATTTCTGTTTACTAAAGAACTTCCCAAGGAATCATTATAGAAACTCACAGATATGTCCAAGTATAGATTTGTATTTGTTTTTTGACAACATTAACTGATTGTCAACATGTGTCCGTGTTCAAAGTTATAATGTTTTTCTTTTTCTTTTTTTTTTTTTAAGAGGTTTTTGCCTTAGGGTCTGCATGCTCACTAAAGAGAAAGAGAGAGAGACAGACAGACAGACAGTAAGAGGAAAAGTGAGCAATCATCCCCCCCCCTCCATGGGGGTGGGGGAGGAATGGCCATGCTACAGTCCCATCTCCTCTGCAATCCCTTCTCCCTCACTCTCCTCCCGGGATCTTGGGCACACATTCACATGTGCCTGGTATGATTTTCATGCCATCAGGGCCAGGATTTGAGCTGCAGTTGGCCATGTGGGAGTCCAACAATATAACTGCTATACCATCTGCTGGCCCTGGGTTTTTCTTAGTTGAGTAGAGGTTGCATGATTTTTAATGTAAGCTAGAAGTGGAAGATTGAAACAGAAGCCACTTAAGAGGCAATAGTTTGTGCTTGACTGAACATTGACTCACATTTAATGTTTATAATGTTATTCAGTACTTTTAAGAACAGATTTTTTTTCTCAGTATCTTCCCTACCTTTTCTTTCCTTTTTCCTCTATGTCTTTTTCTTTTCTTTTCTTTCTTTTTTTAACCAAAAATGAAAATATGTATGAAGTATAACAGGCTAAAAATAAACATGTGACTGAGCAGATAAAGAGAAACTAAAAGGTAGAATACATAAGGTAAAGACATTGCATGATATGGTTACTATATGTTCAGAAGTCATTTACAGAAGTTAAAATGGTATGGCTTGTGCTTCTATTTTATTTTATAATTTTAAAAAATCTTTCAATAAGCATGGCTTAAAAATAACTTTGAAAGCCAAGTAAAGTTTGCTTCAAAGAATTAATTGTATTTGGGTCTTTGTGATAAATTCAGATATGTTATTTTTTTAAATAATTTTTTTTTTTTTTT